GCCTGGACACCGGCTTCGTTAGGAAGCCGACGTCCGGTGCCCATGCCCCGGCGTGGCCTCCTTCGGCGCCCTCGGCGCTCTGAGCTCGGCGCCCTACTGCCTCCTTCCTCCTCAATTACTATAAAGAAACAGAAATATTAATTTTAAAGAACTAACCGGAATTAATCAATTTAATTAACAACAAAAGACTACAATAATTAAAAATTAATTCCATAAAATGACTAAATATTCTAAATATACGTACTGCTTTGTGCCTCAGGGGATGGTGGCCGACGATTACTTTCTGCTTCCATTTCAACAGCGCTTTGATTTTCTATAAAGAATAAGTGGTATATAGTAAATATGTAAAAAAATATGTAGGTATAATATATAGATATTTTGTTAACTAAAATACTACTTCTGTTATAGTTTTGAAATATCTACATATTAATTAAAATTTTACACGAGAATCGCCATCTTGAAAACAATTGTGACGTGTAAGAAGTACCTATTTCATTTTAAAATTTCTTTATATAATATTAAAAGGAATAAAACAGAATATTATATAATAAAACATAGTACATAACGATTGCAATAGTTATAGAAAGAAATATAAACACAATAAGAAAACATCTAGTCTTAATCGATTCAAATAAAGTATGTGTATTATAATGAAGCGCACGAATTGACCGGAACATTTTCTTAAATTATTCAAAATCTTTTAATGGCTTTGGGTTAATTATATATATTTAGTGTCATTAACACCTTATAAAGTATCCAGAGACAAAAAAGCATAATAAATAAGTTAATATTATTCATTTAAATCGAATTTTTATTAGGACTAAGAAAATTCTGACTTACCCATTTTTAAATTTAAAATGAAAAGGCGGATTCGAAGTAGGCGGAATTAGTCGAAACTAAAATTGTAGAGGCGCTGTAAAACTTATAAACATTGATGCCATATTTATTATCCACATGAACGACGACTATTTCTAAAAATAGATTAAATTTTTTGAATCATATAAAATTTGTATTATTTGAATAGTTGATATAAATAGTAAATATCAATTCAGACCGGAACATGGTCGTTTCTATGAGTTGAACAAAGATAGATTAATAAAATCACAGTTGTCAGAGTGAAAAGATGCAATGACGCAAATGTCACTCTTTCATTTTCTTTTATAATGTCTAATGGAAGTTGTTTTTATCGCACCTATAGCCTATATAACCTATGTTGCGATTTGGAATGAAGCACAGTGTATATATCGAAATAACTTATTTAAGTTCAATCATCAAATAAACTTAAAATTTAGTTTGATTTAGTTTTGGCAACGTTGTAATCGGATATTTTATTTTAGAATAGTTTTTTTTAAATGACAGGTTAAAATGTCAAACGTCAAACTTTCGTATTGTATGAAACTGTTTATTTTCTTTATATTGAAATTTGAATTTTATTACGAATTCAAAGTTATTTGAATTAATCTCATGGGAAAATATGCGTAATATACGTAAAATTTAAAATAAAACTCCATGATCTTTGCAAATGAGCGACGAAAACGATAAACTTGGAAGTATAAATACCAGAAGACGATCGAAATTCTATTCAATTTGTTTTATAGGTTTATCAAATGTTTTTGATCAAGATTTTCTGAATATATGTATATCTGTCAAGAATAACTACGAGGACTAAATACAATTCAAACTTTTTAATGGTAACAAAACCGGTATTTGGAAATTCGAAGGTGTAGACAATGTAGAAACAAAACGAATGTTTGGTATTAGCAGTCACCCTTTGATGCAGCAATTATTATGGTTATTGTTTTTTTTTCAAATCAGAATTTTAACATTTTTTCGAAAATCTCTCGGTTTTCGATGACGATAAGCTGATTTTTTAGGATTTCATGATGTATAATGGTTGTATTTCAAAACAAAAGTTGCATTTAAGAAAATTACCTCCTTATTTCGAAGGAACATGAGTATAATCTGGAATTTGATGTAATAGGATAGGTACTACATTTTTCAATACGTTGTATTATTTATTAATTAATTAAAAGCCTTTGTTTATCAACATACTTAGATTTTGTATTGATATTTTTCAGATAGCTCTTGAGATGACTTATGTACGATGATTACAAGTAAACTGTTTGAAATGTAAATAATACACATTCATATTTAAATATAAATTTAATATAATTTAATATCAACTTACAAAATGATATTGCCAATTAAAAATAACAAAATTTAAAACTGGATAATAGCGTATTATAATTACATTCGATGGATAATTACCTAGATGATAGAATTTCATCTAATAAATTGTACAAAGTAATTATGACGAAAAACCAAATGTACCATATTTGTAACTTAAATTGAACATAATATATACAGGTTGCCATAGGATATACTTATTATAATATAACATACTTACTTTAGCTAAAAAATAAAATTTATTAAAAAACACCACTTCCATGGCCGGCCCAGGAGGCAATAATTTCAATTCTCCAAAAAAATGAAATTATAGAAAACATAAAAATATATAAGAGAAAAGAAATTATCCGTGGTGTTTGTGGCCTCGTTATTGGATTCCCCATCAGTAAATCCGTCAATATTTTAACATAAATAAAATAAATACAGATAACTGACAGGCCTACCTTAACTTATAAAACGATCGGTATACTACTATCTGTTATTGTAATTACAGCAAGTAGGTATTTTTAATTGTGTGGCATTATATAGGGTTCGTGTAGTAGTTGGCCAATGTGGCAAGCAACTTTCAGAACATAAGCCGTTTTACCTCTTTTGCAAAATTGTACCACAGATCTAAGTAGACATCTACCAGAATCGTCAAAGTTTTTATGTAAATTATAATTGCTGAACAAATGTTCTCGCAATTATTATAATTGTCTAGTCTGTACTTGATTGTTTTTCGATTATAGAAAACTAATCGATAAGTTCTTTAAATACGATATTCTTTGCGTGCGCTGTATCATTTAAAATGTTTGAATTCGCAATAAACACACGCATATCGTTTGGGGATCTTACTCTACTAAGAGCAACATATAATTGACCATGAGTAAAACAAGGAGTTCGTAAGTCGATTCCAACTGTACACAAAGTCTGTCCTTGAGCTTTATGTATAGACATACCATAAGCCAGTTGCAATGGAAACTGACGTCTATTCATTTGAATTTTCAAGTTTTTGTTAATTTCAAATTTAAAAATAATTCTCGGTATGGCATAATGAACGTTATTTGGATCATTAGGTCGCCTAACCGTAACTAGTCTTTTAGTGATTGATATAATTACCAATTTTGTTCCGTTGACAAGACGATCACTGAAGTTGAGGTTTCTCGTAAGTAGACAAAGCGCTCCAACTTTTAACTGTAACATGTGATCCGGTACGCCGGATTCTGTCGCTTGGTGCATCATCTCGTCGGTTATTGTTCCGACCAGAGAATTTTTCTCTTTATCATCCAAATAATCGGCGCTATACAACGTTACGACGTCACCTTGTAACCTTTTCAATACAGCGGCATTGACTTGGCGTACATTTTGGTTCAACGTCGATAAAATTGCACGTGTTGCACAAGCTTCGGAATTTTCTATAAGATCTGTTGGAAAAACAAAATCTAATAAATCATTTAAATTCGTTACGAATTTAATTTCTTTCAAAAGCGGAATGATAAACCGGTGACACTGTAGATCTACGTCGTATACAGGTACCTCGGGAATTATTCCATCGCCAACTTTTAGTAAAAATGACGAAAATTCCGGATTATCTTTTACCCTATGAGGTGTATTCAATTTAAATATTTTCATAGAGGGCCAAATGAAGGATCGTTTCATCGAAACCGCTAAAACGACGTTCGATGTAAGGGCATTCCTCACGATCGGTGCAATCTGTCTAAAATCACCTGAAAAAATGATAATTTTCCCACCAAACGGCAAATGATTTTTCATCAAATCTTTCAAAGATCTGTCAATCATTTCGATGTAATACCTACTGGACATCGGCGCTTCGTCGTAGATAATTACTTTTGAATATTTTATTAATTCGGCTCGTTGACAATGTGTCGTCAAGTGCCAATATTCTGCGTTACATTCGTTTATGTTAAGCGGCAATTTAAACATCGAATGCGCCGTTATACCACCGGGTAGATTTAATGCGGCTATACCAGATGAAGCGACACACAAAACTACGTCGCCTTTCGATCTGACATAAGCCGCAATAACTTCCAGTAACTTACTTTTGCCATATCCGCCGGGTGCATCGATAAATATCACCTTGTTATCTGTTTGTTGTGCTGTCTTCCCTGGAAGATTGCTACCTAACAAACTATCAACGTAATTAAAAATAATTAATTGATCTTTCGACAACAGTGGCAACCATTGATTTACGAAAGTTTGCAAATCGCTTACGTTATAATCCGTCAATTCTCGAATCAATTCAGACGTATCGTCGCGAGCTGGTGGAAGTCCGGCTTCTTTTAAATTGGAACCGTGACGTCTCAAAGCTCTGTCTATTTGTCGCAAACCGATTCTTAACGCCTTATCTTCGTTATTAGGATATTGATCGAGTAAATCGAAACAAATAATCCTATTGAGGTCGTCCCACAATGCTCTGGCCGGTGCACCGATGTTGCACAAAAGTGCAAAAAACGATCTCAGCCGAAAACCAAACATAAATTGTGAAGCCTCACGAATGGCCTCTTTATATTCGTCGTCATCGTTTACTAAACCCACATGTCTAGCCGCCTGTTGGAACGTATCGCAATCGTTACCGCCCAACTTCAACAAATCCGCATAACCTGAAGCTGGAAAATTGGCCAATAACATTCTTAAATAATATTGCTCACCTCGATTGGGCGAAACCCAATGTATTCTACCAACAACTCTACCACGTTGTCGTTTAGTTAGGAAATGTTTACCGTCGGCAAACGAATAAATTTGTGCCGTTTTGGTACTAGGACGTTTACAGTAAACCATATACTTTTCGTAGAATTCGATATAATTCAAGTCCTTCAATTCCTCCAATTGATCGACGGGTCGAGCAAAGTATAAAAGTAATTTGGAGGTAGAAGTTTGAATGGCGTTCTCCTCAAAGCCTTGTCTAAAACATACATTATGGCAATTATTCAAATGAACTGGTAATGTATAAACTACTGGATCAATTCCTGTAGTATTAAATTCCAATATACGCCATGCAGCATCAGTTGCACCGATGTAGCGTTTAGTGACGTATTCCTCGACTTCATTATGTTGGTCTGGTTCCACCGACATTCGTCTCAATTGTTCGCCTTTCGTCAAATACTTAAAAAGATAATGAATGACTGTACGTGCAGAACATTTATCAAAATTGATGTGACAATTATATTTTAATAACAACGCTGGGTTGTAGGAAACTACCCAGGTGTCATCAATTTCGATGTCACCATTACCAAACCGAACGGTCGCTTTGTTCCTGTCGCTACGTTTGTAATTGTAGAAGCCATGATTGTCTACATACGTGTTTTCGACCGGTTGTTTCGGAAAGTATTTCGTACATTTCCTCAATTCCTTATCGAAACAAGGTGGAAATTTATTACTTCCTGGACGTCGTTCTCGTGCACAATAGGGTCCATGGATCATGTGCCTCAGAACCAAACGTCTCAATTCACCGTCAGCTTCATCCTCGGCGGGAATATCTGCCCTGATGAAACGATCTACATCTGTCGTTTGAACGGGACCATTTTTAACCTTAAAAACAATATGAGCGTGGGGAAGACCACGCATTTGAAATTCTATTACGTATATAATATATACTAATTCACCGAACCAACGTCCACTTCGCAAATCTCTCATTAATTCGTCAAAATATAATTTAAATACGCGATTAACGACTTGAGGTTCGCCCATTGAACACGATTTATGAGTGGACGCTTTTATTTCCGGCCATTGGCCATTGGCCGTAAAAGTTAAGAAATAATCAGGAATACCTAATCTTTCAACCAACGTCATCGCGTTCATGTACTTTATCTTCATATATCTAGGTCCACCTGTGAATGAACAAGGCAAATATATTCTACCTGCTACGAAACCTTCACCTCGAATTGTTTCGTCATCTTGTGCGTTTTGACGCACTTCTTGGCGTTGCTTATTCAATTCATTGGCGTCAATCACCTCGGCCGCAGTAGCCATGCGCATCGCAGCCGTTGTTGGGTTCTGTTGACACCTAGAAATGTAATTCAAACGTTCCTCTTCAATTCTACAGTACATATCAACCAACCAAGTCTCAGATAATTTATTGAAAGCTGTAAACCTTTCCTGAGACAATAGAAGGCACCTTATGTATTTAAGTTGACTTAGTTTACCACCTTGGTTGTCCTTCATGTTGATTGTCCAACCTAATTCACCTCTCGGATACAGCAGAGGATACTGGAAGGGTTCCATTATGGGATGAAACACATTTAGTTGTCTTTTACCTTCTCCGTTTTTCCATATACATATCTGTCTCGGATCGTTGGGTTCGTCTATTAGACTGATTACAGCCGCCACCTCAGTCGACTGAGGTTGTTCACCCAATATCGGACCAGCCCGACGTCTCGTTGTACATTCGAAAACCAAATGAGCCTTTTCACTTGGCTCCAAAGCGAGGCGTCTAAAATCTTTAATAAAAGGATTAACTCTTTCTAAAAAGCAAGTAATTTCCTTAAGTATGCTATTTTTTAAATAATTAAATTTAGCAGCTTCTAACCGCCTAGCATCACCGTCATCTATATACATGCTGCTATGATTGGGATAAGACGTACTTTTCATATTCAAGTCGTGTACCTTATGATAGGTTCGACCTTGAATTTTGAGGAAACCCAAACCTTTCGGACTTTTCCACTTCGTAACCATTGCGCAGAATGCAAACAAATCGTTGTAATGGCGCGGGTGGCTCAAAAACGACAAATTTTTATAAAAATTTGCGTCTAATGGCTCGAACTGTCTGACGTTGTAACGATTCTGTCCGCAGCACCATTGTGTTCTCTCTTTTTCTTCATCAAACAGCGGGGCTCCACAATGAGGACATTTAAAACAAACCGCTGGATCTAAAAGTGAAGGATTTTTTAGAGCATAATTATTAATTTTTGCATATCGCTCATTTGTCCTAATTTCGCCAATTAATAGGTTGCGACTGCTACGCAAAGGAGTTTCTCTATACACTTTATCGTAAATTCTACGGCGCTCCCTTAGTGGAACATTCGAAGCTTTACGTCCTCTTTTGTAATTGTTACATTCTCCCATATTAATCGTCATGTTATTAATCTTGCTTAATTCAAGATTCGTTGTAGACACCATAGCCATCATATCATCCTGGCCTGTTCGTAAAACATGGTCAGTATGTGTTGTCATTTTTTCTATCTCCTCAACAACCCTAGGAACAATAATGTTGGAATGAATAATAATTTTTTGTTTCTTGGAAGGAAGCGTAGATTCCAAATTCTTGGGTTTGCGACCTCGTTTGACTTTTTTAGGACGCCCCACTTTGCTAATGGACGTCAAATTCGTTGTACTTACTGCTTCATTAGAAACTGAACTTTTTGAAACAGCACTTACATCTTCCGTGTTTCTATGTCCAGTTTCCGATACATTTACCTCATCATTCCTAGTAGCAACGTTCAATCGAACTTCAAAATGAATTCGATGAATGTTATACTGCCTGCTATTACCATCACACGCAGAGTTGATCAAAAGAAGTTCAGCCAAACCATCAATATTTGCGCAGGTGAACAGCCTTGCCTTATTATTTTCTTCACACATGTCGTATTTGCCCCATTCGTTGACGGCATGTGAGTCGAATAAATATATGTCTCCGTCGGTTTCTCTCCAAAAACTGACAGTTCTGTCTTGACCTATATACCAAAAAAATTGTAATTAATGTCCAAATAAATTTTTTAAGTATTTCTCACGCAAGAATATTTTAAAATTACTTAACATTGTCTATTGTATTAAAGTATCAAACAGGTTAATTCATCTTAGTTTACGATATAGGCGATGGGCCGATAGATGCAACAAAGACATTACATTTATAAAAGTGTGATATAAAATGTGATACAAAGGGTGATATTGTGGGATTGCATTTCTCTCTCTTTCTAACAACTGTTTAATATATATTCTTTCTTTGTTCAACTCATAGAATTGATCATAATGCAAACTTTTATGTACTTATGTCACTTATATATGTGTACATTTACCTACCCGTAAATAAATATCCACAGGTCACACTGTCAGTTTCAAATCTTTCCTGAAGAATATCACCTAACGCACTTTTCTTCGCTGGCAATTCTGTCAAGTAACGTGGAAAATAACCGGCATTAACTGCCTCTATTTCTGTTACTACCACGAGTTGTCCTAAAACGTTTAATTCTCGTGGTAATTCCTCGGGTTCGAGAAATGGAGGCCTTTCCTGAAATTTGAAAATTTTATAGTTAGTGCTTCATCAAAATTCTAATCAGCTAATCATTTTAAATAGTTAGTATTTTCCAGTTTTAGCTCTCAGCAAAACAGAGAAGGATATTTAACAAAAATACATATAATATATTGTTCGAACCCTGTTCGAACTCTATCTATCATTAAACCGCATTATAAAATTGCCGAAATTGCCGGCCAAGACCCTGCCGGCTGCGCGAAATTTTCATTGGGGTGTTCTTCACTGTTGAATTTTACGATAACATTATTATATCTACTTAATATAAACTTGAATTTCTCTAAAACTGTTAATTATGCCATTGTTATACAGGTTGCTCCATTTTTGATCGCAACATAGGTTATATAGGCCATGGGTGCGATAAAGAAAACTTCCATTAGACACTTATAAAGGAAAAGGAAAGAATGATATTTATGTCATTGCAACTTTTCACTCTGACAACTGTTATTTTAATTGTCTTTCTTTGTTCCACTCATAGAAATGACCATGTTGCAATCGGAAATGGAGCAAACGATATACATCTACGTACCGGAACAATATTTTCATAAACTTGGCATCCGCACATTAATATTTGATCGATTGTTCGACCAATGAACGGAACCCCCAGATGCCTACATGCTAGAGCTAGGCTAGCATTTGGGACACAGCTAGCGTTTTTGGTCTTCGGCAGTATTAATCTGTCGCCTTGGTGGAAGCTTCCTACCGCAATACATGAATAGTTCATGGTTTTAACTACAAAAAAGGATGCTTAAATTTAAAAACACGTTATTAACTAAAAAAAAAAAACACGATACATGCATTTAACTAAAAAACCCTTTTTAAAATATCATGCAGATTGTTGGGTCAAAATGTTTTATTTAAAAAGACTTACCTAATTATCACAAAAATCGCACAAATTACACAAATTACCCAAATTAAAAACACAATAATTCAATTAAAGTCGGTTCAAAAATTTGAAACAAAATGGCTACCAACAATAATTGAATTGTAAACAGCAACCGGCATAACAACGGATTTCAATTGTTTTCATATTGTGTTGTACGAATAAGAACGAGGACCTACATGTATCAAAAATATTAGTAGGCCGATTTATTATTTTACTTAAAATTTTCGGATTCGTTCAAATCTAGGGTACTACATAGGGTGTTAACAAAAAAAATATTTTAAATTCGTGTAACTATTTTTTATGAAAAATAAATTTTTCATATTTAAAATATGTGATCAAAACCAATGGCATTGCTTTCTGCGCAAGCTCGACTTGTTAATTTCTTAAAATAATTTCGTAATATAAAATCATTGTCGGACAACGACAATAAAACGATGGGTTCTGCCGCATGGCAACGCAACTCATATAGTAACCATAAAAGGCTTCGCTCGCTGCGCGAGCTCGATTTTCTGAAACGATGGACTCTGCCGCATGGCAACGCAGCTCATACAGTTAGTACAAAAAGGTCTCGCTCGCTGTGCGAGCTCGATTTTCTAAATCAAAGGGCTCATGCAGTTAGTATAAAGGGTCTCGCTCGCTGCGCGAGCTCGATTATCTATACCGATGGGCTCTGCCTCATAACTACGCAGTTCATGCAGTTAGTATAAAGGGTCTCGCTCGCTGCGCGAGCTCTATTATCTATACCGATGGGCTCTGCCGCATAGCTACGCAGCTCATGCAGTTAGTATAAAGGGTCTCGCTCGCTGCGCGAGCTCGATTATCTATACCGATGGGCTCTGCCGCATAGCTACGCAGCTCATGCAGTTAGTATAAAGGGTCTCGCTCGCTGCGCGAGCTCGATTATCTATACCGATGGGCTCTGCCGCATAGCTACGCAGCTCATGCAGTTAGTATAAAGGGTCTCGCTCGCTGCGCGAGCTCGATTATCTATACCGATGGGCTCTGCCGCATAGCTACGCAGCTCATGCAGTTAGTATAAAGGGTCTCGCTCGCTGCGCGAGCTCGATTATCTATACCGATGGGCTCTGCCGCATAACTACGCAGCTCATGCAGTTAGTATAAAGGGTCTCGCTCGCTGCGCGAGCTCGATTATCTATACCGATGGGCTCTGCCGCATAGCTACGCAGCTCATGCAGTTAGTATAAAGGGTCTCGCTCGCTGCGCGAGCTCGATTATCTATACCGATGGGCTCTGCCGCATAGCTACGCAGCTCATGCAGTTAGTATAAAGGGTCTCGCTCGCTGCGCGAGCTCGATTATCTATACCGATGGGCTCTGCCGCATAACTACGCAGCTCATGCAGTTAGTATAAAGGGTCTCGCTCGCTGCGCGAGCTCGATTATCTATACCGATGGGCTCTGCCGTATAACTACGCAGCTCATGCAGTTAGTATAAAGGGTCTCGCTCGCTGCGCGAGCTCGATTATCTATACCGATGGGCTCTGCCGCATAGCTACGCAGCTCATGCAGTTAGTATAAAGGGTCTCGCTCGCTGCGCGAGCTCGATTATCTATACCGATGGGCTCTGCCGCATAGCTACGCAGCTCATGCAGTTAGTATAAAGGGTCTCGCTCGCTGCGCGAGCTCGATTATCTATACCGATGGGCTCTGCCGCATAACTACGCAGTTCATGCAGTTAGTATAAAGGGTCTCGCTCGCTGCGCGAGCTCGATTATCTATACCGATGGGCTCTGCCGCATAACTACGCAGTTCATGCAGTTAGTATAAAGGGTCTCGCTCGCTGCGCGAGCTCGATTATCTATACCGATGGGCTCTGCCGCATAACTACGCAGTTCATGCAGTTAGTATAAAGGGTCTCGCTCGCTGCGCGAGCTCGATTATCTATACCGATGGGCTCTGCCGCATAGCTACGCAGCTCATGCAGTTTGTATAAAATTTGTTCACTGTTAATAACAATGAGCTTTGCCGCCTAGACCCGCAGCTCGGAAGCCTGACGGCCTCCTACGCAAAGGCTGTTAAATAACTAAGGTCTCGCTCGCTCGCAGCTCGAACGGCTATCAGCGTTCTACGCAAAGGCTGTTAAATAAGTAAGGTCTCGCTCGCTGCGCGAGCTCCACTAAATCGCTGTGAATAACGATGGGCTCTGCCGCATAGACCCGCAGCTCGAACGCCTGTCGGCGTTCTACGCAAAGACAGTTATATAGCCGGATCCTCGCTCGCTTCGCTCGCTCGGTTTATGTAATTACCATTTCCTTAAATACAAGTCACCCTGTACTATATTTTAATTTAAATTTAAATAATTGTTGGCTTTAGAAAAAAAACCACCCCGTATATCAATTTTTCCGATTTCCGAAAAAACACCCTGTACATCAAATTAAATGTCAACGTATCCCGTAGTAACGGAA